TGATAAGAATAACAAAAGTAATGATAGAAGTGGAATGAAAATAATTTCTATAGTAATGATGACATTAGTGATAATGAGGATTATGAAGATGATGATGATGATGAGTAATAGCAAATAAGATAAATCGTAATGATTATAAAAGTAATGATAAAGGTAAAAATTATCATTATCATTATATTTATAACTATAATTACAATTAATATAATAATGATGATAATGATAATGAGGATAATAGTAATAACAATGATAATGATAATGATAGTAATGATAATAATGTCAATGAAGACGGTAATACTGTAAGGATGATGATGAAAATAATGATGAGTAATGACGATAATAACCATATCAATAATGGTAATAATAATGATAGTAATGATAATCATGATGATCATAACAATAATAATTGTAATGATGATGATAATAATAATGATAATGATAACACTAACAATAATAATAACAATAATGATAGTTATAATGATAACAATAACAATAATAATCATGATAATAAGAACGATAATAATTGTGATAATGATCATGAAAATTAGGATAACAAAATGATGATAATGTTTGTGAAAATAATAACAATAAGGATAATAATGAAATAATGTTAATGGTAATGATAATGACAGTAATGATAAAATATGATAATGATAATGATAATGAAAATAATTATGATAAGGATGATAATAATGATAATGTGAATGACAAAGATGATCCTATTGATGATGATAATAACAATGATAATGATTGTGATAATGATGATCACAATGATAAACCAACAACAGCAATAATAACAGTCGTGAAATAATACTGATGATGAGAATAATGACAAACAGTGATGATGGTGATAATAACAGTGATAATGATAATGATATGATAATGATAATAATGATAATAATTAAAATGATGTTGGTGATAGTAATAATGATAGAGATAATAATGATAATAATAATAATGATGATGATGATGATATATAATAATAATAATAATAATAATAATAATAATAATAATAATAATAATAATAATAATAATAATAATAATAATAATAATAATAATAATAATAATAATAATGATAATATAATATAATAATGATAATGATAATAATAATAATAATGATAATAATAGTGATATTGATATTAATAATTGCTATTATTCTTATTATAATAATGATAACAATGATTATGAAAATAGTAACAATAAGATACTAATAAAACAATTATTGAAATAAAAACAATAATCAAAATGATAACATAACAAAATAACAATAACACCCCCAAAAAAGGAAAGAAGAAAGGAAAGAAAAAAAGAAAGAAGGAAAATTAAGCGGTAGTAATACTATGATTTCGTAAATGAAATAATAACATTATCAATACAAATATTAATAGTTATAATAGCAAAAATAAAAGAGTGAGTGTGAGAGAAAGAGATAGATCGTTAATA